CCTCCTGTACCACACTTAACCCTCCCTCCTGTACCACACCACCCCTGCCCCCTGTACCACACTCACCCCTGTCTGCTATACCACACTCACCCCTGCCTCCCCTGCACACACACTCACCCCATTGTAATGAGACGATCTCACAAGAAGAAGATTACATATAGGTCGAATATTGATAGTATAAGAGTATAAATGAGAGAAGACTTTGCAAGTGCCTCGTGATAGTTATTTGAACTCTCTTGACTTACACTTATCTTATCTTCATATAATACACATCTATTACTGCTCAAGGGCACTTCTCAAACACTTGCCGTTTACAACTTTTATTAATTACGAACATGACATGGACACAAATAACACCTTCTATTGAAGTTACTAGACATTATATTTACGTTACTAGACATCTTTTATACCAGACACTGATTCTCGACACGAACATGAAATGAATACACTTCACGCAAGTAACTCATCCCATGGAAAGCTCTGACAAAACTCACGTGACCTAGGGAGGCCTAGCAGGTGGTGGTCTCGGGTTGTCTCAATGGGAGACTGCTTAGCTGCCGAGGTCTCTGGTCCTGACTGAGGTGGCCTCCGCCCCTGACTCACACACCTGAGGGAGGGCCTGGACGTCCTATTGAAGACCAGCCCTCAGGCATTTGCCCTGATCTGTTCAGACTTGACTTTTCTGGTGCCTTAGCTGTGAAGGAGCCTGGCTGATGTATAACCCTTGGTCAGCCGCGAGAGATACCCTACACTTTTGACACCCCTAACGTCGGGTCAAGTCTGGCCTGTTTCTGAGATGTAAGCTGTGGTCTGACAACCCATCACTACACCTTCCTCCCTACCACATTCACCCCTGCCTTCTGTACCACACTCAACCCTCCTTCCTGTAATACACTCACCCCTGCCTCCTGTACCACACTCACCCCTTCCTCCTGTACCACATTCACCCCTGCCTTTTGTACCACACTCAACCCTCCCTCCTGTAACACACTCACCCCTTCCTCCTGTACCACACTCTCCCCTTCCTCCTGTACCATATTCACCCCTGCTTCTTTTACGACACTCACCCCTTCCTCCTTTACCACACTCACGCCGTCCTCCTGTACCACATTCACCCCTGCCTTTTGTACCACACTCAACCCTCCCTCCTGTAACACACTCACCCCTGCCTCCTGTACCACACTCACTCCTGCCCCCTGTACCACACTCATCCCTGACCACTGTACCACACTCACCCCTGCCTCCTGCTTCCTGTACCATACTCACCCTGCCTCCTGTACCACTCTTACCCCTGGCCCTGAACCAGACTCATTCCTGCCTCCTGTACCATACTGGCCACTGCCTCCTGTACAACACTCACCCCTTCCTCCCTGTACAACATTCACCCCTGCCTTTGTACCACATCAACCTCCCTCCTGTACCACACTCACCCCCTGCCTCCTGTACCACACTCAACCCTGCCTTCTGTACCACACCTCACCCCTTGCCTCCTGTACCACACTCACCCCTTCCTCCTGTACCATTTCACCCCTGCCTTTGTACCACACTCAACCTCCCCTCCTGTACCACACTCACCCACTGGCCCCCTGCACCAAACTCACCCCTGCCTCCTGTACCACACCCCACCCCTCTCCTGCACCACATTCACCCCTGCCTTTGTACCACACTCATCCCTCTCTCCTGCACCACACTCACCCCTGCCTCCTGTACCACACTCACAACCCCTTGCCTTCTGTACCACACTCACCCTTGCCTCCTGCACACCTCACCCCTTCCTCCTGTACCACATTCACCCCCTGCCTTTGTACCACACTCAACCTCCCTCCCGGTACCACACTCACCCCTGCCTCTGTACCAAACTCACCCCTGCCTCCTACCACACCTCACCCCTGCCTGTTGTACCACACCTCACCCCTGCCTCCTGTACCACACTAACCCCTGCCTTCTGTACCACACTCACCCCTGCCCCCTGTTCCAGAAACACCTCTGCCTCCTGTACCAAACTCACCCCTGCCCTGTGTACAACACCTCACCCCTGCCCTTGTACAACACTCCACCCCTTGCCCCTGTACCACACTAACCCCTGCCTCTGTGCCACACTCAGCTCTGTCCCCTGTACCACACCTCACCCCTGCCCCCTGCACCACACTCACCCCCTGCCCCTGTAACACCTCTCACCCTGCCCCCTGTACCACACACTCACCTGCCTCTGTACCACACTAACCCCTCCTTGTACCACACTCACCCCTTGCCTTCTGTACCACACTCACCGTGCCTCCTGCCACCCTCACCCCTGCCTCCTGTACCACACCCCACACCTGCTTTCTGTACCACACTCACCCCTGCCTCCTGTACCACACTCACCCTTGTCCCCTGTACCACACTCACCCCTGCCTCCTATACCACACTAACCCCTGCCTCCTGTACCAAACTCACCCCTGCCTCCTGTACCACAGTCACCCCTGCTTCCTGGACTGTCTGAGATCAAGATCCATCAACAAAACATTTTTTTCTCTATCTCATATTGAAGAAACACACACATATATATATATATATGTAATATTCAGAAATTTCAGTAATTTCAAACGCCGCGCCATTGGCGATACTGAGCTTTCAAGGTCGTCTGAGGGAAGAGAGCACTCCCCGCACATAGTGAGAGGTTGTGGAACTAGGCCTATATGATATTAAATGTAATTTGCCGAATTAATAATGATGCGATTCATGAAGTTAAGGGACTATTATTGAATTGGAAATTATTATAGATCGTTTATCAGTCTGAATAATGTTACGGGTGTCCCAAGGAGTTATTAGTTAGACGGAAAATATGTCACGTAGGCCTAAGCTAACGCCTTGAGAGGACACGAGGCGGGCTCTCTCTCAGTCACAGGGAAGCATTCAGACAAACAAGACGTCCCTGCGCGTCCGTCACAGAAATAGTCACGTGGTCTAGTCACCTGTGTTGCGCTATTGCAGTATAACAAGTAAGTCTCATTCGATCTCAGACAGGGTTTAGATAGAGCAGTGGTAAAGTTAACAAGAGCTAACAGTGAGTTCATTTCAGGGTTTCCGTCAGAACCCACATGACCGCAAGTTTGACTGCGAGAAATTGACTGCGAGAGATTGACTGCCGGTTGAGACTGCCATGATGATTGAGGATTGGCGCCATTGGAACGATCAGTGTAGGCTTGTCACTGGTTAGCAGGGTAGCAAGGGATCTCTTGAGTGGACGAGTGCTCCCGACAACTAAAACGACACGGGACCAGCATCAGCATTGGGTGATCAGTTCTTACCACGTGGGTGCATAACACCACGTGCCCTCGGTCAGCTAGAAGTATTACCTACTGGCCATAGTCACCTGCGGGCGTTCTCTCTTCCCGCCCATGGACGCACTGAGAGTACACTGAGGCAATCTGAGTAAATTAATGGTCACACACTGAGACCAGGAGTCTAGGGGATACCTAGAGGAACATTTAATCTCCCTTATTACGGGTGTATGTTGAGTTGGGTGGAGCATGGTTCACGAGTATTGGTGGACCCAGTAACATATCAATAATAGTGACAATATATTTGTGTGTAGTTAATACCATTTTTCAGTTACTGATATTATCTTGACGTGTGTAGTTTAATATTTCTTAAATAATTTTGATAGTATTGTTTTTTGAATGTTTGTGTCAATAAATGGAACCAGAGTGACACTGTGATTTAATTCTTTTAATGCATCTAATTTTTCTTCATAATTCCGATCTCAGGTATAACCTTTGTTCCCCAGAGCAGTGGTTAAGTTAGGTTAGGAAGTGTGCATCTGTTGGGGTGATATAATTTTGTTGAGTGCCCTTAAGGCCTATTCATTGTAGAGTTATTAATTTCTTATTTTTGAATACCATTTTCTCAGTGCACAGATATAATTTTGTTGAGTGCCCTTAAGTCCTATTCATTGTAGAGTTATTAATTTCTATTTTTGAATACTATTTTCTCAGTGGTTGATATTATTTTGTTGAAAGCCTTTAAGGCCTGTTTCATGTGTGCAAGCAACATTTCTTAATACTTTAAATTTATTTTTGTCTAATGAGGCATTGTTTGAGTTTCTAATAATTTCAATATCATGTATAACTTTTATTCCCCAGAGTAGAGTTTTAAGTTCAGGTTAAGAGGTGCGCATATTGGTGTACCATTTTTTGATTGTGTCTGTAGTGTTGGAGGGAATATAAGTGTCTAAATTTTACAGTGTGTCTCATTCATCCCAGTCACAGACACTATCCTTCCACGGGTCACGGACAATTCATTTTGTTAGTAAATTCAAGTGTTCTTGTGCTGGTTCGGGATTCTTCTCCAAGGGGCGCTTCCACTGCAGTTTCCATTTAATAATTAATAAACCCCAAGTCAAGTGAGAAATTAAAAGTCCAGTAATTTCCGACCAGTTACATATATATATATATATATATATATATATATATATATATATATATATATATATATATATATATATATATATATATATATATATATATATATATATATATATATATATATATATATATATATATATATATATATATATATATATATATATATATATATATATATATATATATATATATATATTTCATTAGCCCAATAAAGCACGCGAACTTCTACATACAATCAACACCTCAACCCGCCACGATTCGAACCCCATCGGCCCCAGCCCTGTCTGGGCAGGAGCCTTACCTCTGGACCACCAGGATACTAAAAGCAGTCCTAGACTTTGTTATATTTCACCTACGTTTGAAATTGTAACACTTGGAGATTGACATACCACCATTAGATTTTGACAAACAGATAATATATAGGATAAACAACATAATAACTACCATACCCCTTGGTGCATTTTACACAGGGGCCGGTCATTTTACACAGAGGGGTTGACCACCCGAAACCATGAAACATCAATCGAAACAGTGGTATGTACCGGAGATTCAGTGAAACAGTGAATACCAGGTGACTTGGTGTGCTATCTGTAGATCGGCATCATGCCCGAGACACCCACCGGGGTACAGTTCATAGTCGGTCTGGCACACTTCGGAAGCATCCTGCTGATGCCTCGCAGACGATATCGCCGGTGTCAGACGAAGATCGTGATGGATTAATTACTCGATATGAAGCTGGAGAGGATTTTCTGGACACTGCTGCCGAGCTACGAATTCCAGAACCACAGCATATGATAATTCGCAAGTTTTTGGAGACTGGAAAGACAGGAACTACGTGGAGGACGACGACCACCAGCAACTGGATGATGACGAGGCGAAGGACACTTTTGGTGATGCTGAGGCTGCACCAACGATCACCATTAGAACAACTATACACTTCGGCAAACATTTCCAGGCAAGCCACATGTGAGCAACATGACTGTTTCTAGGGCTTTGTATGGCGAACTTACCCTGAACCAGGTACACAATGTACCGGCTAACCACAATTCAGAGGACGTGAAAGCCGCTCGTGTAGCGCTAGCTCAGTACATGTAAGAGGATGGCATTCATCAACATCGTGTGTACGTAGATAAAACCGGCTACAACCTGTATACAGTACGGTTAGGACCTACGGCCGGGCTCCACGGGGACTACACGTCAACAGGATCGTTGCAGGACAGCGTGGCAGCTATCTACAATTTTGCAAGCCTATTCTATTATGAAACTCATGTAACATCTGTGACCAAGGAAGTACACCTTTTCACATATACGTTGAGACATTGTTATATACCTATTTGACATATTTCAGAACCGAATGACAGAACACATATCGAATGACATTTTAAAATAACTGTTTGTTCATGCTAACATAAATGATTGACAAAGGTTATGAAATTGACAGAAGTGAACAATAAACCGACAGTCTATATGCAGACTGTTGTGGTATATAGTGATCTGTCTGTGTGCCTGTCTGTCTGTCTATAATCAAGACCTCCATGACCTCCATGTAATCAAAACTTTTCTTATTCAAATCATAACTTTATAAAATTAAGTCTTCTTACAATTTTCGGAATTTTAAGAAACTTGTTAAAAATAGAGAGGATAAGGAAGTTGATGTGGGTGTGTTGAGACGACATCAGGTGTGAAGAGCCTTTGTAGTCTTATGAGTCCTGGCGTGATGCCTGGTTCTTACGTGCTGGGCTTAACTCACCTCTCTGTCTGTCTGTCATGTTATACAGTATAGTAAATTTGGTGTCTTAGTTTTCATTATTGTTTTCACTGCCGTCACCATTTTCACTGCTATCATTGCTGATACGGTTATCATCGTTGTCACTGCCATTACCGATGTCACTGTCAAGTCCACTGTCACTGTCATGTCCGCTGTCACTGTCATCATTGTTGTTACTGCCATCATTGTTGTCACTGACATCATCGTTGTCACTGTGATCATTGTTGTCACCACGACCATCGTTGTCGCCACCATCACCGTTGTCCGCTGCCATCATCGCTGTGCTGCAACAAATGTTGTCACCGCCATCATCGTTGTCACTGACATCATCGTTATCACTGTCATCATCGTTGTCACTACCATCATCGTTGTCACTGCCATAATCGGTGTCACTGTTATCATCGTTGTCACTGCCATCATCGTTGTCACTGTCATCATCGTTGTCACTGCCATCATCGTTGTCACTGCCATCATCGTTGTCACTGCCATAATCGGTGTCACTGTTATCATTGTTTTCGCCGCCATCATCGGCACTTCCATTATCATTGTCACTGCCATCTTTGATGTTACTGCCATCAGCGTTGTCACTTCCATTATCATTGTCACTTTCATCATCATTGTCACTGCCATCTTTGATGTTACTGCCATCATCGTTGTCACTACCATCATTATTGTCACTGCCATCATTGTTGTTACTGACTTCACCGTTGTCACTGCCATCTTGATGTTATTGCCATCATCGTTGTCACTACCATCATTATTGTCACTGCCATCATTGTTGTTACTGACTTCACCGTTGTCACCGTCACAATCGTTGCTACCGCCATCATCGTTGTCACTGTTATCATCGTTGTTATTACCATCATCGTTATCACTACCATCATTATTGTCACTGCCAACATTGTTGTTACTGACTTCACCGTTGTCACTATATCTTGATGTTATTGCTATCGTTGTCACTACCATCATTATTGTCACTGCCATCATTGTTGTTACTGACTTCACCGTTGTTACTGACTTCACCGTTGTTACTGACTTCACCGTTGTCACCGTCACAATCGTTGCTACCGCCATCATCGTTGTCACTGTTATCATCGTTGTTATTGCCATCATCGTTGTCACTGTCATCATCGTTGTCACTGTCATCATCGTTGTCACTACCATCATTATTATCACTGCCATCATTGTTGTTACTGATTTCACCGTTGTCACTGTCATCATCGTTGTCACTACCATCATTATTATCACTGCCATCATTGTTGTTTGCTGACTTCACCGTTGTCACTGTCATCATCGTTGTCACTGTCACAATCGTTGTGAACGCCATCATCGTTGTCACTGATGTCACCGTCACAATCATTGCTACCGCCATCATCGTTGTCACTGTTATCATCGTTGTTATTGCCATCATCGTTGTCACTGTCATCATCGTTGTCACTGCCATCATCGTTGTCACTGTTATCATCGTTGTCACTGACATCATCGTTGCCCTGCCACCACTGCTGTCACTGCCATCACCATGTTATGATAGACCAATGACATGATATTTGGAGGTTTGCCCCTAATGCAGTGTGTTAAAGTTAAAGTTTCTACACTGGTACTACACTACTGTCACGAGTGTCAGGTGCGAGATCAAATAATAACATAAAGTAAACCCATGAACAAGTAATAGTAAGTTTGACCTTCTTCTTACAATACTGACTGTAATACACCACAGGCTGTAAGCACAAGATCAACATTACCTAATGACATCTACTCTTCTGCCTCAAATATCCTTCTGTGTTCTACTTGTTATAACTTTACATTAATTAATAACATTTTAATATCACCAAGCTTTTACAAGAGTATAATTTAATATTATCCTCTCATCGATCTTCACATTTGTTCATTGTCATCTACTTACTTGGAAATATAGACTGTATTATTTACCTAGTTCCTTAATGTAACACAGTGAAGGAAAAATGATTACAGAGACCAAGTCATCACACCTCCAAGTCATCCATCACACCTCCAAGTCACCCATCACACCTCCAAGTCACCCATCACTCAACTTAACAAAACGGATTTACAGTTTATCAAAAAAAATTCATTAATGCCATTAATGTATATGTATTTTACAATGTATCTACTACTAAATGAAGACATAAACTGAAGTACCTATTGTTATTACAATATAAGTAACAAACACCATCATTAGATGACAAGAGAGATGGAACCAGGGACAAAGCCCGGCACTGCAACGGTGTTCACCCTACACCATCTGCTGCCGATCAGAAACTTAGTAACTGCGCACACACACACACACACACACACACACCTCAGCCTTCTTTGGGTAAGGACGTGCAGTCAGCGCTGCCCGCTAACGCAACCGTGGTCTGACCATGGAGACAGCTGCCAGCCCGGTCTGTCGGGCTCTCCCTTCCCATCTCCTCCTTCCCATCTGGATTTATCAACAACCTCACACCCAAATACAATTGCAAAAGAGTGACGATTAACCCAAGTGATATACAAAAGTGGCAATTTCAACTCGAAGGAAAAATAAAAACACAGCAATACTGATTGTGGCTGGATCTAACCTGACCCTGACCTCACGGCTACTGACCTAACCTGAAGGATGGAGCACATATACCTTAAGCTACTGTCCTGGCCACACATCCAGCCCATACGAGCACGAACCGTTGCTACAAGAACAGCCCAGTCCCAACCATTGTAAAATTAGCAACACCTAATTATTATATGTCATATTTATATCATATGTTACCTGTACATCATTTGTAAATCAAGAGACCCATTCCCAATTATGTAATTATTTTTCAGCCTTCCGGCTCATGCTCTTCAATAAACCGTTAATTATTATTATTATTATTCACACACACATCAACCTCTCCTCCGACATTGTCCCCTCCCTTCCATTACCCTAGGTCCGAACACACTCAGGTTGTAGATTCCACAGGCTCCTCGGCGTCTGCAGACAACAAACTAAATTGAAACCACACGTCAGTGAAGTTGTCAAATCCTCCAGTTTCCTCCTCCCACCTCCTCCAGACTCAAGTCCTCAGGTTCCTGCACACAGCTCCTCAGTGTAACACAACATTCATACTTCCCAAGCTCACCTATGCCTCCCCCTGGTCTTCCTCCTAAATGCCACCAACGTAAACACTAGAAAAAGTGCAAAGAGGGCATGCAAGATTATTCTCCTTCCTACTCCCACATATCAAGAAGCGCTCAACACTGACCCTTTCGACTCTCACTGACCATCACAGCCTCATCTGCAAATTTGGTAGAAGCTTCCCCCATCCCGACACCGGCCTACCACCTGAGATCCTGTCCGAGGAACGTTCGACACCAGCCATCCAGCCCATACGTGCCGAACAGTCGCCTATAAGAACACCAGTCCCAACCATTGTAAAATTATCAATAACATGTAATAAACCAGTGTATTCACTCCCAGTAAACACTGCTCCTACATGTCACTATGTTGAAATGAACTGTAGTTTGAGCTGATCCCCATCTAAGTTACTATATGTCTTATTTGTGTCACTTATGTACTTGTATATTTTTGTAATTCGTAACCCATTCCCAAATATGTAACTGTATATTTTCAGCCTTCTGGCTGCCAGCTCAATAAACCGTTAATTATTATTATTATATTTATTACTACTACTACTAATTTGCTGTCACTCGGAACTGAGAATGACGATCTTTATGATACAATGGCATGAGTTATTAAAGGTGTCACCGCGTTAGTAGTTCTTCGGTTACTAAAGAGGCCGATACGGGACCGGCAGGATCGTTTACAGATGCTGCATATGGAGGGCTACATCTGGTGCTGGAGGGCGGCAGCAACGTCTTTCCAGCGAGGGCAGCGGCAGCGTCCTGGCGTCGGCGCTTGTCTGCCGTTTTTAGTCGGACACTCAAAATTAACCAGCACCTTCTTTTGTGGTTCCCTCCAGCGTTACGTAATCGTCTCAGGTGAGGGTCGATTTAAAATTTCAGATTTGTCTTAGACTATCCTTACCTTTTCAGTTGCCGCCAGCGTTACGTTTACTATTCGTTAGGTGACTGTAGTAGCTGCTGATCTACTGTCGTTCATGCACAGAAGATGAGGCAGTCCCGCGTAGTTGTTCATGGATAATGGTAGCCTTGGTGGTCCTGCAGTTGGTGTACGCAAGAATGGCATTTGTTCTCTTGTCTTCAGCGAA